GCTGCCGCCTCCTTCCCTTAGAGCAAAGCTGGCGGTAAGCCGGCGTTGCTCCCGTGTCCCCAGCCCCCGGGCGCCACGGGTATGACGCGCTTTGGGGAATTTCGCCGCGTTTCTGCTGCGGGTCTCGCGTTGCAATGGGAAACGCATAGAAAACATGATGCGAGGCGAGCCCCGAGCTGAACCGGTCCCCGGGTCCTTCTCCTCCCAGGGCGCTCTGAACCTCCCCCCCCCTTTTGTGTTACATTTACGGATAAACTTTTTTTTAATCTTTGCTTCCTCTGCCTCGTCCGCTGTTTAGCGATTTAAGAAAGGGTAACCAAGCAGGGAAGGCAGGACGCGCCGCGCCTGCGCTGGAATTGCATTTACACAAAAGGCTTCGGCGGGACCAGAGAGGAAACGGGAGCCTGGAGCCCATCTTTCAGCAAAACGCGGATTAACTTGGCAGCGGTGTTGCCGCAGCGAGGTCCCAGCCGCGGGCGGCTCGTCGCACCGCCTCTGCTCTGGGCAGACGCCCACCACGTCCCTTCCTCTTCTGCGGTACAAGTTCGTAAAGCCCTTTATTTACAAGCACGAAAAGCTCAGGGATCGCTGCTAAGCGTCTAACCGACCCGGTGGACATCCAGTCGGCGTTTGCAGCGCGGCCGCTCAGACAGCAGGTCACCCCGAGAGCCGGCGGCGCTGTTTACTCCCCCTAAGTTCTTTGATCGTTTTGTAAACCTCACCGCGCAGGGGAACCATCGCCCGGAGACCTGGGTGCAAGCGCGCGTAGGGGCTGGCAGGCGGCAGGGCGCTCTGCACGCACGCACGCATCCCTCCAGGGACTGCTCTTGCCCCTCGGCTCCGCTCTCGGCGCACTTTTCCCCTTCCCTTCCGTGCTACCGGCGATCGCACCAGACGCAGAAAACCAGAGGTTTTCAAAAGGCGGCAGAGAGATGCTCCGGTTGCCCAGCAAGGAGACCTCGCTGCTACTCACTTAACTTTGGGGCAGAGCTGAAAGCGCTGGGTAGAGATTAGTTTCTCTCCCTAAAGCCCACAGTTTCCTGCCAATCTCTTTCGAAACGCTGGAAAGCTCCAGCACGCCACGCGCGCGCACGCGGCAGCGAGGCAAACACCCCTTCAACACCCGCTCAGCCGCCACCTTTCCCTCTTTTGGGGAACGTCTCTCCAGGCCAGATGGCGATGGGTCAATCACTGCTGCTCACGCTGCCTTGCAGCGACAGCTGGCCAGGCTGCGCAGCAGCAGGAGTGTAATTATTTTTAATTTAATTTTAATCGAGATACTGTAATGAACGTGCAAAACAACAACTGTTTTCCTAAGTTGCTTTTGTTCGCTCTTTGCAAGGTCTTAGAGAAAATTAGCACGCGACAAGCCACCCAAGGCCCCCGTGATAAGGCGAGAGACCAGGGCAGACAGCGTGACCGCATGGGCCGCCTGTCGCAGAGAAACCCACCTCTGCTGGGTGCAGGAAAAAGCAATGATGCCATCGACCTTTCCTGCATTTTGGGCAGGGCACGACCCCTGGGCATTGCAAGACCAAAAGGCTGGATTTTGCCACCACTTTCTTTTCTGGGCCCTTCTCTCCCCATCCCTGGCAACCCCAGGTCGTTTTTTTCTCAGGTGCCGGCATTCACCGAGCGCCGGCGTTGCGGCGTACCGTTATCACCGTGACGGGGACGGTTCATCCTACCTGCAGCAAACTGTGAGTAAAAACAGGGCTCAGCACCTTTCTCCCCTCTGGGAAAAATGACTTTAATAATTTGGACAACTTGAAAGGCTCCTGCCACGGGGTAGGTAAATATTCATGACGGGTGCCCCTCCCCCCCCGCCTCCCTTTTCTTCCCCCTCCTCTATCCTTCCTTCCCTTCATCCTTTACAGAGACAAGTCTTGGGGCGAATCCTATCGATTTGTTTGATGCAAACAATAACGATGAATAATTAAAGGGGGGGGAACGGCAGGAGGAGAGGCCAGCGCCAGAGAGCCAGCACAACCCCTTCGGCCGTCAACAGCGGCGGAGTTCACCCCACCGCTTTCTCCTGGCGTTACCTGGGTCCTCATGATTGCTTTGACAGCAGCTTCAAACTCCTCTGAGTTATTGTAGTCGACGGTCCACACGTGCGGCTTCCCGATGAAGTCTTCGGCGTATGGGTGTTGGGAGGACACCTGCAAGACGGAAGCGTAAGCTGTTTTTTCACAGTCGCTGCCAGAATCGCTGCCGTCTACCACTCGCGGCGGTGCCAGCAGAGAGGAACCATCTGCAGCAGGCTCAGTCGCAGACGCGTTTTGTTTAAAACCGTTGCACACGGACACGTATCCAAAAGAGAACATCTCGCCTGAACCCAGCTGCCCTCCAACGCTAGGCTGAGGCTTTAAAATCCTCGCTGGGCTGGGATGCCCGGTTGCCTTTAACGCTACGGGGTGAAACAGCCTCGGCGGCTCCCAGTTACCGTCTTGGTAATTCAGGTAAAATCTAACCCTGACCTCAACCACGTCCAGGACTGGAGCAGCAAAACCAGACCGAAACGGCAAAGCTCTGCGACGGCACCACGTCGCTCGGGTTTGCCAGCTCCCGAAACAAGACAAAGAGAAAACCCAACACCCCAAAGGCCGGGGAAGTTTAACATCAGGATAAACGGTCGCCCGAAGCTGCGTGGTCTCGGGCCAGCTCTTCTTGGCGCTGCCTCTCCCGGCATCCG